TAAGCTAACTTAACTTTCACCAACCAGTATTTAGAGATTCTTCTTTCTGTTCAAAGGCCAAAAGCATAAAAACTGTGGAAGAACGGCAGACATTAATGACTGACTAAGATGTGACACATTAATTATTATCATCTGTGACACAGATGAATCTATAATAAAATAATCATTAGCTGCAGTCTGATACAAAATACTCCTGCATTGAGTATCACAGAAAAGTGTAAGCTAAAAGAGGATAGTTCGTTCCGTCAGCCGTAGCGCATTTAAGCAAAGCAGATATTCAAAGTATTGTGTTTGCGGTCACAGACGGGAAACAAAAAAAGTCCTTGTTCACGTTAGTACAGCGTCCTCCAACATTCTTCACAGCAGAGTTGTGTACTGGCTGTTATACTAGTATGATAGATGCACTTTAGCTAAACTATGAAATCGGCTGTCTGAGCCAGGAGTTACATATACTTACCATCACCATGGCATCCTCTGAGCTCAGGGCGGACACGCAGCTGATTGAGATGAGCTAATTATACAGTTTGAAACTCTTTGACATTGAGCCAACTAACAATTTACATAGTTGAGTCTATTCCAAGTAACTGTTTAAAAACGATATAATATTCTTTGTGTGCTCCATCAGTGGTGATAAATGATTTAAATGTCCTGCAAGGAGTTCGTACAACTCTGCACAACACCGGATAAGCTGGTGCTCTTTCCCTCCCTCACTCCCACACACACACACACACTCTGAATGTGGCAGGACAGGTAATTTTGGCATTCGATCACTACACTAGTTTGATACTAGGTCGACTAGTAGCTAGCTGCTCTGCTCTCCTGGCTCATTGCTTTTTGGTGTGCTCACTGTTTCATACGAATGTCTTTTCTACTTTTGACTTTGTACAAACGTTGAAAGCAGCTGGATTTCTTGTTCACGTTTAGCAATGCCTCACTTATTTGAAGAAGGCTCTCTTGACTATGTTTCCCACAGAATGACAGAGTAACTGGGGGCAGCGTTATTTCTTCTTTGACCATTGGTGCTTCATTCTCCAACTTATCTTAGTGTTTACTCACTACTTGAATCTGCTCACCTTGCTTTTCTCTTTCTTTCTTTCGAATGTGCGGACCACCTGCAAACTTTTGCCTGTCTCTGTCAGTAAACTCCAAAGTTCCAAAACTCACCAAATGTTTCAAAATAACGTTTCCACTCCAGTTACTGTGTATATGTATAAAAATGTGTATATGAAAAACGTAATTATGTCCCTTGATATACAATAAAAGTTTGATCATGTATGTGGCTGTTTAACATCAAAATAAAATTGAATGTGAGGGGAAAAGATAAGGATGCCTCTCACATATTTCATTTTACTTCATATCACACGTTATCATTTTATCATTTAAACATTCAAACCAGCAGCGTTATTTGTGCTCACGCTAGCGAGTCAAATCTCAAATCAATGTCTGGTAAATATTTCAGTCCCCCTGGAGTTCAGAGGAGAGTGTATGCCACGGGCACTCACGGTCAGTTGTGGAACTGCCAGCGTAATGCCAGGATAATGATATATTAGACGTGAATTTAGCTACTGAGTCCTTTTCAGACTTTAACTCAGCTAACAGATGTCATTATCATCATCGTAAAAATCCAAGATAACATCAAATACCATTAAAGAATTGCAGAAGAGAGCGTCTGTAGTCTTTAATAATCTCCTCTGTGCATATTTAGTTTTCAGTTTAGTTTTCGTGTTTAAAATCGCTGCAGTGAACAAGACTGTGCTGGCAGGCGCACAGAGTGCACTGAGACGTGCACAAACAGATCTCCCTTCTTACCTCGACTCACCCTGCACATCTTCAGCACCTGCACATAAAGCTGTGTAAATTAAAAATGTCTGGAAATAAAGCCAGTGACAGCTCTCTCGCTACACTCCATCCTTATTACCAGTCCTAATCATGATGCAGGCCAAACATAACAAAACCAACATAAAAAACGTGTTCACCTGTCAACACCTGTCTTCACTTGATATCCCAGGATGGGGGACACCACTGACGATCAAGCGATGTGCTTTAAAACTTCCACCTCACAAGCACTTTGATTTCTGTTTCAGAAAAAACTCTTTTCCCCGTCTTTTTGACATCCACTTTATTTCAGACAATGTTTTCTTTATTTCAGTCATTATGAGTCTCTGAGCGGGCTGCACTGACTGCCATTGTGACACTCGTCACAGTCGTTGCGTTTGTTGCTGATCCAAGAGTTCAAATCATCAAATAAAATATTTCTTCTCTCCTCCACTTCAGTAATCAGCACCTCAATCTCGCACTCAGTGAAGTTTCTCTTTTTCACTGTTTCGCAGCAGGATCGGCCGTTCTTATTTGGACCTCAGGAGGGGACGATGGCGTATTTATGGTCATTTGCACGGTAGTTTACAGGAGGAGCCAAGGCGGGGTATTGGCTCGTGCATGTGCGCTCAATTTCCCATTGATTGGGATGTATAAAGGAAAGGTGTGCAGGACCTGGCATACGCCGGTTTTATACATGTGGATAATTCTGTGAATACGTACTTTTTAAGTTCTGTGAGTACGCCATCTTTCAGTACGAAAGCTGTGCAGTCTTTTATACGTGAGGCACCGGGTCTCTTACTGCAAACACACCATCCTGCCTCGCCTCTCCTTGTCTCTCTCTCTCTCTCTCCCTGTATGTGTCTGCTGACTTTCTCCATCAGCAGTATGTTTTATAAAGATGCCAAAGAGACAAAAACTGTTCTTTTGGATTTTTCTACCTTTCTGTTTTGACAGCAGCAGGTGCGCTTGCATGTGGAGGAGGCTTGTTGTTAATGACGTAGCCTATCCAAATGATCGAAACCACCCGGATGGCATCTGCACTGATGTGTTCACTGTTGCTTTACCTGCTCCATGTTTGTAAAATATCCACTGTGTCCTCATCTTGTAATGTAATACCAGATAACATCTCTCTCTGTTTCTCTGCGAAATGCTAAAATGGGTCACCAAATATGCTTTGGCGGCCGTTAATATACCATGGCAGCCCGCCAAAGTAAAGTCTACATGTGGGGAACACTGCTCTCTGAAAAGGTTTCTCCAAAACTTTGTAGACGTAACCACTGATAATCAGATTGACGAGACCTTACAGAGAATTAATGGAAATACATTACAGCATTTTAACCTTGTGTGTATGCTCTTGCCCTATTGGTAGACACAATGGGTGGCTAATGGTCTAAAAGTAATTGGAGACAGCAGCATCAATATCTAAAAGATAAAATACTGTTCCCCCCCAGCTGCTTTGTCTGCAATATACTGTGTGTCAGTTTAAGAGGAAGGAACACTACACACCCCAACCATACACATACAGAACTGAGAAGTAGGACTTTACAACCTGACAGTATCCTCTTTGCTAACAGAGCAGCAGGGTGGCCACCTACAATGATGCAGTGTTGCTATGGGCCAATCAGTACTTAGGCAAACTTTATAGTGCTGTAATACGCAAGAGTGGTGGGAGAGACATGTGTTGGCTAAGCAAGATTTGTAAAGCAACTTTGAGCAATGCCACTTCTGCAAGGCTATAATAAGGCCTTCAACAAAGAGCCCATAATGAGAGGAAGTAGAGAAAGGATAATTGTCTTTCTGAGGCTGCTTACAATTCTTTTTTAATTTGGGCCACTCATGGCATCACGGAACTTGTTACAGAACTTACTTTTTTAAAAAGGTGCCGTAGAGTGCTCATTTTCAGGTTCATACTTGTATTTAGGGTTTCTGCTAGAAGATGTTTACATGCTTTAATGTTCAGAAAAGGCATCCAATTTCTCATACTGTCCACTGCTTCAGCACCCCTTTTCACCCTCTGTCTGAACACTAAAGCTGTGTCCGAAATCACCACTCATTCACTCCTCCCTACTCCCTATCCAGTGAGTTGTTTGCAGAGGACTATATAGTGAGCTCACCCGCAAAATAAAAACACTTTTGGACACTATTACGATCATTATCTCAGCGCCATTAATTACGTCATTGCTGTCGGACAATCGGTTGGTGGACTGAGCAATGCATGATGGTATAAACGGCTTGGTTAGTGACCATTGGTGGTACACTACTTTTCACAATGTATTCTGGGATACATTGAGTGGACTATATAGGGTATAATAATTCTCACTATACATTCGGACAGCACTACAAAATGGCGAGCTCACTATATAGTCCGCTACGTAGTGAGCAGAGGGTGGCAGCTAGCAGTTACTGTAGCGCGCAAATGATCCCAGATGTTACGTCACAGTTGTTTTATGAAACTTCTTAAAAATGTGACTGTTCTTCCTATGAACATCAGATTCAGACACTTCCACCATTTAGCATTTATAAGCACTATATAAACATTTAATATATGGTTTATAACAAACTATAAAAAGCTTGTCGCAAGCAGGTAAAAGGAATGTCTTTGGATTTTACGTACAGTATTTCAAGAATTACAACTTGTCCTATGATAACATATTTTCTATTATTACAACTGAGTTTTACTACATTGTGATTCATACCCAGACCTCCACAGGAAGAGTTATAGCTGTGAAGATATACTACTACTACTACTAATCTGCCTACAACTACATTGTAGTGAGTTATAAACCATTTATTAAATATTTATATACTGCTTATTAAGTTAAACTAAGGGCATTAGTAATGGTTGCAGTAAAATTTTTTTTAAAAAAATCAAGAAACGGCAGATAGTGTTGAAGTTTAATTTCTACACCTTGTAAATGTGTGCGTATGACTCTATGGAAGTGTCATATCCGAAATGGTTTTTGGTTATGAAAAAAGAAAGATGAATTTTCTTACATGATTGACACCTATGTTGACAAACCCCTGCAATTTGTGGAGCCATGTGAAGAGAATGAATGAGCATGACAGAATAAAGAGTGTGGAGTCATGCATTTCTCTTTTGATAAAGGCTTATCAACCTTTCTAAATACTGCTTGTAAAAATATAACTTATCCTTTGATATTCTGAACAATATCTGAACTTACCTGTTGAATAAGCTCGCCAGAGGTCCCAGTTTCTTTTGCCTTCCATCCTCTTCCTGTTGCTTGACACCTGACCCTGGATGCTGTCGTACAGGACTCCATAAGTCTCTGGGGTTTCCTGGTGACGATGATAGCGTCACATCAGAGAAGTGAGCGGTGCCGCTGTCATCGGTCTCTAAGGTAACAATGGCGCTGGAGTCAGAAGTGACGGTGAAATCCAGGATGTCTTCATTAGAGACCGATAGCTCGGTGCTCATGCTGGACACGCTGCACACAGAGATGTCATCGCTGCGGTTTAAGGCTCCGCCCCCAAAACTTATCTCCGTGGTAGCGGTTAATCTGTGAGCGGGGCTGAAGAGGCGGATGGAGTCGTACCCGCTGCGAGGGAAGGTGGAAGATTTGCGGATGGTGTTGCCATCAGAAGGATCGTCGTCCAAAGGTAAAGTGGCAGGAGAGTCGTGACTGGAGTCCAGGATGAGGCCTCCGTCACCTAGACGTTGGTGGCTATGGAGGATGGGCTCTGGATGGTTGATCTCCAAAGTTGGGATACCTGAGTCCTGGGAAGACAAGCTGTGGTTGTCCTGGTTCAGGTCTGAGTAGCTTTTCTGGGGGCTGCTGTAGTAGATGGGGGTAGAGGAGCAGGATGGCTTGTACCTGGGCAAGACGGGCTCGCTGTGTTGATGGCAATGGTGGTTGGTGTGATCATGGAGGTCTTTCACTACACAGCCATTCTCCACTATTGTTCTTCCAGGCACACCTTCAAAAGAATTTAACCTCCAATTAGTTTGATTTTTATACATTTTTTTTACTGACCAGAATTTCCTTCCTAATAAATGATTATTATTATTAATGAATTATATTTATCCATTTGCAATGGCAACATGAGTGAACAGAAGAAAAGCAATACATGGTGTGACCAGGCTTTCCATCAGTCTTTCACTTCCAGGACTCCTCAATTTTCTTCATGCTGAAAATAGTTCTTAATGACATTCCCGGTATGTTTGTCGTTGTCATGCTGCAGAATACATTTGGGGCCAAAGGCCTCCCTTACGGTATTGCAATAATGAATAAGTATCTTCCTGTGCTTCTCAGCAATGAGGAGACTATTCATTCTGACCAAATCAAACCAATTTCAAATTTTGACTCATCAGTGCAGATCACCCGCTGCCACTTTTCTGCAGCCAGTTCCTGTGTTTCTGTAGCTTGGCATAGGACAGGATATAATTTTTTTCACTAACAATCTAACAAATGTTCAATAAATGTTTGATTTTATTCACTTGAATGATACACAAATTAGAACGTACTTTTTTAAAGATGTTTATTTTGTTAAGGAAAAAGGACTGAAAAAAAGTTTTTACTTAATTTTACTCATTCATATTTGTTGACAAAGATTTTATAATAATTGTTTTGAATGTTCTACCTCAGAACTGTGTAGTGATCCACTGTTTGGCCTCAAGTGATGACCATAAAGAAGAGTTTAAACCACGATTAACCATCAGGTTTCTTCAACTTTCACTCAGGAGCAAAAGTCAGCCTTTAAACTCAAAAGAAACAAGGATTTGATACTTATCGTGATAATTATTGATATCGAAAGATATGAAACTTTTTATCACGATTACACCATATCGTCCAGCCTTAGCTTGGTATATTATATGTTTGATCATACACCTGACAATGTGCCCACAAAATCCCTGATTTTGTGTAAGTGTACCTAGAAGTATTAATGGTGTTCTGAAGGCAAAGGTTGGTCATACCAAATATTGATTTGCTATTGATTTTCTTCTGTTCACTCAATTTGTACTTTGTTAATTGATACACACCTGCCTAAATCCTTTACAGAACTCTATATAAATAAAAAGAACTAGCAAAGATATACACACACACAAAATGTTTCTTCTGACTTTCATCAGGGCTTCTGGGAAAATGGGTGTGTGAAAATGAATGCCACAGTAACCAGGCTCTAACGTCAGTCTGTACTGTAATGTGAACAGGGCCCCATTAGTATGAGTCAGAGTCAGATCAGTTTCAATATTAATGAATGCACACAGAAGGACAGACAAACACATTTCAGGATTTGTATATAAATAACCGTAGCAAAGGGCGAGCGCAGTAACCCTACCTGGATATAAACCCGGGTACTGAACATGCAACTTTTGACCGCTATTCCACTGAGCCAGGCTTGTTGATATGGCAGTCAGAGCGCATACTCAACCAAAGTAATGTGTACTCCGTCACATTGGCTCTCCACAAAACTGTTTTTACATGCATACAAAAAAAAATACATTGCTGTGTATATAAATCCACAAATAAAAGTTTATTCTCAAATGTTTTTCTGATGCACACGCTTTCTTGTTTTAAATAAATGTAATAGGAATCCACAAATATGCATATAAAAGCATTTCATCAAAAATGAAGTAGGATATTGTTACATTAATATACAAACTGCTTGTCATGGGTGAACACTGCATTTGTGTGTGGGTGTTTTGAGACTGCCCTGCCATGGCTCGATTCACAATTTTTTTTTTTCAACAGGGAATTATCTGTAGCCAATCAGAGGCTCCTTCCACGTGTTGTTACATCCATAGACATATACACAATGCACATTATTATATAATAACTTCTCAGCTGTGACATGATGCGTGCCTGTTTCTTAGTGTTGGCATCTCCTTCATTAGAAATCCAAAAGCGTCACAAAAGTCTGACCTTCTCTACTCTTTTAATGGGTCAAACTGCAAGCTGGCAGCAGCACAGACGGATCTCACAAGCCCGAATGCAGAATCTACTGTAGCTATTGTCTACGGTGTTGCAACTACCCGCAGTTCAACCTCAACATAGAGTGTGGTAGATGTTATCCAAAGGTTATAACTCTCCTGTTGTGCATGATTAAATATGTTAGTGCTACAACTGCTTGCCAGGTTAGTTGGCTAGCCACCTAATGGCAGATCCTAAGTTCTCTATCAGCATTATAGCTAACTTGTTAGTTAAAGCTAGGGCTAAATACCACATCACTAACTTACGAAGCATTTATAACTCAAATATATCTAATCATGCACAACTGAAGTTATCACTTACTATTGGAGAGCAGCTGCCAGACTCCATGTTGAGGTAGACTTGCAGGTTGATGTAACAGTACATGATCACATTAAATGATACGCTCAAATCTTCACTTACGTGACTGGCTTAAGCGGAAGGAGCCATCTGGTTGGCTACAGATTGATTGGCCCCGTTGAAAATAAAATGCACTTGCGAATTAAACCATGGCAGGGGACTCTCAAATCACCCCCACACAATTTCCGTGAAGTTCACACATAACAAGCAGTTTGTAAATGCATACTCAACAGATTGTATATTAATTTAACAACATCCAAATGTGTTTGATGAAAATTGCAATTATTTTTTAATACATTATGTTTGTGGTTTTTATATTCAATTTCTTTAAAACAAGAAATATGTGTGTGTTCATCAGAAATACATTTGTGAACCCATATTTTTTGTGTATTTGTTTTACATTTATATACACACACAAACAAATATTTTTTGTGTGCATTGAAATATATTTTTGTGGAGAGTCATTTATATACTAATCCAAAAATACATTTGTGAATCCTTCTGTGTGCATTAATATTGAGACTGACATGACTCCATACAGTAACGCTACATCATGCTGTAACACCAGCTGGGAAGCTAAGCTAAAGCTAGCGTGTCTAACCTCTCAGCTGCATTAATTGAACTCTCGTGGACAGAGCAACTGGCACCGCTTGCATACTTATATTACACTCTGATACATCTGACAGCACACAATCAGAGCTGTTGTAGCTGTACGTGTTTTTCACAGGAAATAGTGCCAGTAAAGGCTCTAAACACACAGAAATGTCTTTTTATGAAGACAGGTAAACTAAATAGGTAGGTAAAATAGAAAGGTAAAATCAATACTTTGAAGTCAGACAATAAAACGGGTTGTTTTAAAAAAAACACACAAAGCCAGGTTCTTACCCAAGCTCTAAACCCTGACCTACAGGGTGTCATGTGAGCCTGGTAGAATTTGACCCAAAACACAGCAACAGGTTTGTTCCTGTGCCACTGTGGAAATAATCTACAACCACCAGTACATGTAAGAATCTATACAACCTCATTATTATTATTATTATTATTATTATTATTATTATGTACTGCTGAAAAACTGTCATCCTTGTTTTAAATGTATTAAATTTAAATAAAAATGCTATGTCATAAGTTTTAATAACTAAGCATTAAAATGTATTAGCAATGAACTGTAAGGCCACACCTGCATAGGCAAGTATGTTTTTGTAAGTCATGATAAACACCAAGGTTGCAGTTATTGTCTACTTTACTGAAACACTCCTTTGAGTAATCAATCACACCCATTTAAAACAATACAAATGCCTAAGGGGCACTTCTAAAGATTGGAATGCATGGGTGTATAACACACCTATGACATCAAAAATCTACAAATATGTGAGCCTCTTTTCATCTGTTGCATTTCCTTCCATAACATTTTCATAACCACTTCCTAGATACCGTCTTACAAATAGCCTACATCTCGCAGTACGGTGGTGACCAAGTCCTAGTAGACAAAAGTTAAAATTGTATCTGAGCAAGTGACCTTTGTTACATGAAATGTATGCCGAATTGAAGACTGTACTTTAAGCAATTCACAAAATGCTACATGTCATGATTTATTAGCTGTGTACAGTATTTTATTTTTTACAATATTCAATGGCGCATTTAACTTAAAATATTTTTAATGCAGTTTGGCTAAACCTGTAGTGTTACCAGGATGAACAGCACCAGGATGAGTGTATGTGGCGGGCTACGTGTGTTAATCGTGATAAATAGCAGACCCGTGCCAGCACATCATAACCTACCACAGCGGCTGTCTCTCCGGTCCTGGGTACCGTGGGTCGTGTTCGCCATGCTGCGGGTTGATGCTACAGGTGGGTGGCAGGTAGTCGCCGGCCGGGGCGGTCCATGCTGATGCTATGCCTACTGTTGTACCACCATCACCTCCGTGCCTCCTCAACGCAGCTTTGTGTACACAAACGGCACCAGCGTGGGGTCATTTATCGGGACAAACCTATGGGATATATAAATTAATTTACCACAACATAATAATAATAATAAAAAAAAATAAAAATACAGGCGGCTGGTAAAACAAACATTTCGAAGCGGACTTGCTCGCCCAGTGCACTGGCTGGCTGCTGACGCCAACTCACTTACTTTACCACAGCTTCCTCAAGTGCAGTCATACCAACTTAAAATGCGACAGTTTTCCGCTTTGACAGCATCACTACTCTGCAGGATAGGAAACACTTCTCCGGTGTTTATGGAATTACGTGAACAAGCACATTTCCCAAGTTTATCCGGTATCGTTGACATGTCATACCTGTCTCGACGCTTCCGCCGCCATTTTAAAACAAACTTCAACCGTGAGTGCGGTGCAATCGAGTCAAGAATGTTCACCGTCGATGGATCCTTCACCTGTCTGGACCCGAAGGCACAATTAATCAAGCTCCTACCTACAGACTGACATTATCAACACGTTCTGGTAAATAAAGTCATTTCCCAATATCTACAATTGCTGCACGCCATTTCTGCTGTTATAATTAAGCTTAAAAATATTGGGACTGTACTTGTAGAATAGTATTTACCAAACAGTATATAACCCTTTTAACAAAAACATTGGATTTTCAATTGATATTTCTTAGTCTTTAAAGCTTTGACTAAGATATTATTAACCATCACCAGAAAATAATGCCTATAGCCTGATATGTGATGTGAATTACGATCCTAACCCTGCCCTCTAGTGTCACCGTGAGGGGGATTTAAAATAAATGTGAAGGCGCTTTTGCTTCCTCGGGGATTAGTCTCCCTGTGGGTAAATCCAGTAAATAAAACATTACAAGCAAATAAATAAATAAATAAATAGACAGCGAGGTTCACAGGCTGAGGTTTGGTTTATTCCTTTATTAGATGTTAAGAAAATCCACAATGAAACAAAACAATTTATTCAGGGTGTACATGAAATTAGAACAGAGCTATTTGGGATAGATGGGATTTAGGGACGTAGAGGAAAGGGGAGGGAGGGTGAAGAAGCATCTAGGTGGGAATGAAAAGACGAGGAAAACTCAAGTTTTCAGTGCTGGATATGTTCCTCAGACCACAGTGCAATCGAAACTCAGTGGCCCTTTCAGTGTCGATCCAAATGCATATACCCTCACTCAATGCGTTTTTCTCGCCATACATGTTTTTTTGTTTGTTTTTTTAAACATGGCCTATCAAAATGGAAGAATTAAATGGAGAAAGGTGTGAAGCATTCATTTCAACTCCTGACTTTGCTTCTTGCATTCACTCAGACTCACGTGTACGCACACTTTCGACCACTGATTTAACCTCACTTGTAATTATTTTTTTTTTTAAACCAAAATATTTTATTTTTTTTGTTTAATCCGACATACAAAATATGGAGTGTGATGTTTGCATGCTGCATTTTTAGAGACATTTTATGGGTGTTTTTCCCCCCCTCAAGTGTCCCTCACTCAAAAAGAAATCAACATGCAAAATTAACTGACATTTCTCCATATATTCTTGAATGTTTACATGCGCCAAGGGTATTGCATAGGACTTGGGGCTCTTGAATTACCCTTCGCATTGCTTATGCAATCTACAATGGCTTAGTTGTTTTTTTTTCCTCTTTTCCCTAAAACTATAGCTCTAAATTAATGACAGTCACCTCTGTGGTTTGCTTGGAAAGAACTCCTGTCAATAATTCCTCTTCTACAATCAAAGAAAGGTTTTACATTAATGCATCAATGCACTGTCTCAGGTCTGAGTGTAGATTTATGCAGTATGCTTACATTAAAAAATTCCTGAGTGTCTGATGACTGTCAAAGAAAGGTGACAAGACCCTGAAGTTGGAGTACGGTTCATTCAGCTACTCGGGGGTCCTTTTTCAATTGAAGTGGTATTGGATTGAACACACCATGGGCCTTTAAATACAATCGTTGCATTTTTACACGAGGAAGCCATTTCCAAAGCCATGCCCACAATAGAGACACCTTCACCTGCGACAGTGCATTACAAGCCTGCTCACAACATTGACAGATTTTTAATTGCCCATTAATGGAAGGATGATTTTAGTCATCTGTGCTTCAGTTTCATGGTACGATGTGACAAATAAGTCACCCTGCTACCGTCCTCATAACCTGTTCGAAAAACGTAAGATTTTCTGCAGATGCTTCTACTCAATTTAATTTTCAAAGCACAAGGAGGGCCAGTCCAACCACACCTCAAGTGTTTTACAGCTTATTTGTTCAGCGTGCGTTTCAAATTTAGGGGGGCGCTAATGCATTTGCATTGTTGTGAGAGTATGTCTCTGCATACACTCATTTCTATAAAGATAAAGTTCTCGTACACTCATTCTGAACCAGTGCCTTCACAAGGTCTGTTGCAAACACACACACGCACACACATATAGTGAGACATTACTCAATATTTCCACAAGATACATTGTAAACCAAAAAATAAAAACACACCTCATATGGAAAAATAAGCATTTGTACCTTAGTGTAATTATGCCATGTTTTTGGTTTGACCATCGCCCCGCCACTTTGTTATATTTGTTTTCTTGTAGCGTGGACAACTAATCATCAGCCGGTCCTGATCGTGTCCTTTCTGCTCGGGGATAATAAACTGAAAAGATGTGTAGAGAGTACGTAAGATTCAAATACCTGCAAGGATTTCTGCTTCAGCTGTTATATGCCTGACAACTAAGAGGTTACTTTAAAAGAAAAACCAAGTCACATTAAGAAAGAACCGCGATCAGGCAAAACTTTTTTCTTCTTTTTCACAATTTTGCACAAAAAGATATTCATGGAGTCTGACTGGACTACAAACAAAACTAGGTTAGGCCATCTACTTATCACAGCCATATTATGGAACTGTAACTTCAAAAATGTTTTGAACATATTTATAGCACCAATAGTCTGTACCATAGAAATTACAAAAAAAAAATAAAAGGTTTCATTCAGTTGCAACACAGGTGTCTGCAGAAATGGCTGTAGTTATGTATTTTCATGATGGGTCTTTACCCCAAAACACAAACACCCTCCCCAATTATTTTACAGCATTGCATTTCAAGATTATTAGTATTTTTTCCCCCAACAAAACTTTTGATTTCCTGTTTTTTTTTATTTTTAGAGGATTTTTGTAAATTTTAGCCTCACAAACCATACTATGTCTACTACTAGCTTTTGCAAGACTATCACCATTCAAAAATCAGACTCTTATGATAACTTTTCACACACGGGGAATTCAGGGATATTTAGAAGAAAGCTGCACACATGCTCTACTTCACATTCAGAAAGTCGTCCAAACAAACTATTTAAATTAAACTCCCAAATTCTTACACAACTCAAACATCTCAATATGCAAGTATTGTTTTTCTGAACACAAGAAGGAAGGTAGATGATGCGATAGCAGTTGTTTCACACAACGTTAGGTTCAACTAGAAAAAAAGTAGTGAGACTGGCTGGACGAACACACATGTACAACCATTCAGACACCACCAACTACCAGTATCCTAGTTCAAAAGCAAAATGGTGGGAACAAAACTGACAAGGATAGAACAACTGTCCCTACAACCTAACCGAGACTTGAATGAGGACCAGTGAACAGAAGAATCAAATTAAACAAATTCTAAAATGCCTAAAATGCATCATGGCATCACTCAAAGACAACATATTTTTAGAGTTTTCCTTTTTTCACTCACTTTTCGTTGATCTGATTGTTGATTACATAAGGTTTTAAGTTAGTAAATGAAAACCAGCAGAGTTATGTGTGGGGGTTATGGAGCGGTGTCTCTGAAAATTAGTCTACATTAGATTTCCCAGCTCTGAGATGACCCTGAATCTTTGCTGGTAGAGGTCCAGTCACAAAAGGAGAGGAAAGTTTCCTCTCTACGTCAGGTGTCCTCTGCAAAACTGGAGTATTCAAACGTTGCTGCTCCCTGGAGAACAAAAGGTGACACAAAATGGTTAGACTGTTGCAGACGTAAATATCCATGTCCTCCTGCTTCCTTTCAGTAGTATTTTCTAACTGAACATGCTCTATAGGGCTCCACACTAACTAGCGACCATTTTTAGACAGTCTTTGTTAGCCGTCTTGCTGGGACGCTTCAGATTCTGTGACCTAATTAGGAACTTTAGCTATATTACCACTGTTTTTATCAAAATCACTGTGGAGTTTGGTATATAGACAGTTCACATATTTTGATGACCATAGCAAAAGCCATTTGCCAGTTGTGTACAGATCTATATCTAGAACACCGCGTCAGTCTCTTTTCTTATGAGCAACTCTGTACCATGGAAGCTGATAAGTCACATATTTCTGTGTAATGCCAGCAACACACTACATTGAATAAATCATTTGAAAGTGCACTGTGATTGGAATTAACATAAGCAAAACTGGCAGCACCCCTGTTGTTAGGTCTGTATGGCAATTACAACGAGATGGGGAATAACATGAATATTACGATTGAAAGGCTACATAAACAGTATGACGGATGATGCTTTAAATTTACCGGACCATGTAGTGAATGTGCAGTCAGTAATAATCTCTCTCTCTCCTGTTTGTCTCACTCTGGCAGCAGGAGGAGCTGGCTGCCAGGCTGAGAAACCTCATACCATGTAGAGTTCACTCTCCAGGTTTCGCCTTTTTCGCTTTGACTCATCTTCTCAAAGACGACCCTCTAACGCTTCACTGCCCTTATTTTAAGAGATTATCTGTCTCATGTACTACTGCCAGGATATAGTGACAGTTTTAGCAAATATGAAAAACAATAATTTTAAAATAATTCCCTACTGCTGCTTTAATGGGTAGGCCTATCTATAGACTGCCAACATGATTCAATGTTTTGATCGATGTGCTTCGTCTGTCAAATGTTTATCCTGGGCCGATAATTTAGACTTCCCAAAACCTTGGGGTCTCCACTCCTTCAAGGACGCGATAAAATGCCTCCGATTCAATGCTAAAATTAAAGCTAAAATTGAATGGCCGTCTTTTCTAACCATGATAGTAAGCTAGCTATAGCCAAATTGAGACAGCTGTTGTCCAGCATTTAGGCAGTGTGGTGTACATTGTAAACACAGATACAGACATGACAGGACGAGTGCCGATTGAAGAATCAAGTTTACAGTTCCAGTTAGGATTTCTTACGTTAAGATAAGATACAAGGTCTGAGATAGAGCAGGAAACAGTCATGAGTTTAATGAGTGTGATAAATGTACAGTCTGGTGCTAGATTTCTCACTTTCAGACCAGTTTTCAGCAGCTACTCTGGTGTTGAGATGTATGTTGCTTAATGACTTCAGCCCTTTAGAACAAATTTGTTGATACTGACCATCTCTCAAATGGAAAAAGCTGGGTTAATAAATAGCGTGATATGCTGCAAGAAAGTATTGTGAATAAAGTATTAAAAGTTAACAATGTTTTTTACCTGTACAC